GATGCACGGGTACTGAGTGGGTACTTACAGGAGATGCACGGGTACTGAGTGGGTACTTACAGGAGATGCACGGGTACTGAGTGGGTACTTACAGGAGATCCACAGGTACTGAGTGGGTACTTACAGGAGATGCACGGGTACTGAGTGGGTACTTACAGGAGATCCACAGGTACTGAGTGGGTACTTACCGGAGATGCACAAGTATTGAGTGAATATGGTGTTATCCAAATGGCAAGTGGCATCAGGTGTGTTGTTACAAGAACAAAAATCAAACATTGACGAAAGATTAGTTTTCAGAATTTTAATGTAACCAGCATATGTCTCTTAAAAAGAACATTGGATTCACACACCAGCCTGTGACAATAATTACAAAAGCAAAGCACATTTCAAGTGAAAAACCAAATAACCGCAAATGCTGGATAATGAGTTGACAGTGCTGTTGAAAGGAGTGTGACGCCATGTTAATGCAGCCTAGTGCTTTTTAATTATAATTTGCTCAAAAGAATGACAACATCTGTGATTCTGTTTTGTTCCTGTGTTCCAGATTGGAACTGTGAACCCAGTTTAACATTTAACCAAACTGCAAATCCAGTCCGTCTGTTCTTTCGCCTGTCCTTCTTCTTTTACCGTTTGGCGTGTTGCACCTTTGGTCCTGAAGGTAGATAGACTAGCTAACTGTAATGACTATAGACCTAGAAATTTTCGGCCCCCTGAGCAAATATGATCTCCCTCCTAGCCCAATTTTACGTTTTCAAGGGCTCCTGTCAAATGCAGTCCCCTGAATCACTCAGGGTATCCATACTCCTCCAACACCCCCAGAGTCTACAGACCACTAGCATACGATACAGAGGATGAAATCCTGACCTGTCTCCCTAATAATGATGTCATCAGAAGTGGGTGGGGGGTGCTTGTGCATTGACTACAGCTTACCATTAATTAGCTCAAGATCTGTGTGCTCAAACAGCTTGTGAGAGTTTTACTTATACAAAAAATTTTTTGATGGCAGAATGAAAAACGATTGGTCTCTGAACTTATCAGATTGTAAAGGAGGTGGGTCCAAGCAAATAGAGGGGCAGGACCAAGACATCTGATTGGTTGGTCCTGCCTCCTCTGGTTGCTTGGACCCATCTCCTCTACAATTGGATTGGTTATCTCTCTGAACCAGTCATTTTCCATTCTGCACTCAGAACATTCTTGTGTAAGTAAAGCTCCCAATAGCTCATTGCCCAGCTCCAATGCTCAATAAACCAGGCATAATGAAAATAATACTTAAATTCCTACGGGGTCATTTCAGACCCTGTTGCTGAAAAGGATTACATCAAATCATATATGCCGTACTCCAAATGCCCCTTCCAGCCAGCTCACTGTCAGCTGTGCCTTCACATATCACCTACACATATCACCTACTAATTTTCTAAAGCAGGTCATGCTAGCTGTGCTCCTATGTGATTAGACATGTTTACAGCTTTCTTTAAAAGTGTGAAGGTTAATCAGCAGTCCATAGATGCTTTAGCTCAGTGACATGTGCAGGGGAAGGTGCTGGAACTGGGGGGGGGGGGGGGGGGGCATAGATGCTTTAGCTCAGTGACATGTGCAGGGGAAGGTGCTGGAACTGGGGGGGGGGGTGACCGACCAGGGACCCCCTCGATAAATTTACATGATTAGAGGGGGTGTGGTGGTCTCATAGATATTTTTGCATTCGACCCTACCTTTGTTGAATTCTAGATTTGTAGAACATCTGTATGGCAATTATACGCAAATACATTCAGACACAAAGACACACACACACATACACACACACATACCATTACTTTCTATCAGAAAAACCCTAATCCAAACTATGACAGCCTTAACCACTACCCAGTCCAAACTGTAACCATAAGTAGACAAACAAAATACAGCTTTTTTGCATTTTTTAATTTTTTGATGGCAGTCAGATTTTTTATAAAACTTAGATTCCCTTTGTGGGAACAGAAAAAATATCCCCACAAGGTCAAATTAAAGTGACAGGTTTTTATCACATTGTGGGGACATTTGATCCCCACAATGGCCACAATGTAATATAAACCTACAGTAATCTACACACACACACACACACATACTAAGGGGCACACTCAATAAACACAACAGACCCACAGACGAGTTAAAATACATAAATCCGCACAAGTTCCACCAACCACAATGTTGACAGAAATCTAATCTGATCTTATTTAAAAAATAAAAAAGTGAAACACACCAACCCAGATACTGAAAGTAAATCCAGGGCTAAGATAGAGGTCGGCCAGCACCTGATCACCTTTACGACATCCTTTAAGTCAACACAGACACAAAGAGACACTTTCACAGACACTCTTTAGACTGGAACATCTATACTGAAGGGCAGGCCCAAGGCTGAGAAAGTGTTTCACAGCACATGTGGAAAAAACAACCGCAATTCATGTGTCAAAACACCTTCGAAACATGGTTATACATAGGAAGGAACAAAACGTTGAACCAGCTTGACCCCAACGCTCCTATGTTATTATTTCTAGCACAATGTTACCGCACTAACCCTGCAAATGTGAGCCATTTCGTTCCAGTTCATATCCGGTATATACTAAGATGCATCATGCCCATTTTTGCAGTGGGGTAATTAATGACCTTTTGCTATATTATATTAATCATGGCACAATCAATATTGTACTTCTGTTACGCGTCTCTGCACGTAAGTCTAACCGTACCAATATCCAGAAAGGTAAAGATTCAAGGCATTTCAGTGGGTCTGTGTGCGTCATTACTCATATTTGTGTAATGAGACTAAGAAATTGGCATTTTTTTCAGGCACAGCATCAATGCAGGTCATTTTCTGCTTGATTGCCCCCCCCCCCACCATGTGACTGTGCTGTTGACATGCCCGCAGCACCCAGGTCCATCTCCAAGGCAACAGCCATCGAACACAGTCGCATTGGGACAGACAAGCGGAAGCCTGTACGGCACAGTGCTCTCGGTGGATGTGAAGAATATGGCGTCAGTGACTGACAGAAGTTACTGTGTCGTTGTCCTGGATTCATAGTCTGCATTGTCTAATTGCAGCAAAGTTTAGACCTAATTGGTTTATTGATTAAATTAATATGGCTATTAGGGTACTGTTTGACAAGTCCTAAAATAAGTAATTTAGATTGATATTGAGAGGCATTTATAATGGCAATAACATTTTCTCATGTACAATTCATGCTCATTTAACCAGTCATTTTATTTTTAAATGCTGCACATTCCTTTCTCTATCTGTTTAAATGTATATTTTGTATACTGATTACTTTATTTGCTATTTAATTTTCTTCACTGTTATTTTCTATGTGTGGTAGATATGCACATTTTACATGCATCTACTGTGCTACGGCTTTCCTTTATTTTTGCAGCATCTCAAGTAAACAAATTAATTTCTCTGTACGTGTCCCACTCCCCTGGTGGGAATGCCTGCTTATCTGCACCTATCCGCTCCTTTTAAAACCCAGATCGCCTTCGCACTCACTGTGAGATATTATTCTCACCTGATGCATCTTACTTAGACAACCACGTGTTTTTGTCTGGCCCAGATCCATCGGTCCTGCCCGCATGCTTCCTCTCCTGCCCTGATCCCTTCGGACCTTCACGTTGAACCTGCCCCTTGGCTCTTGTAGGACTGCCCACCCTCAGCTTCCGAACCTTCCGCTCCGTGACTCAAACCTAGACCCCGCTTGTCAAGCTGGGTCAGAATAAACACCCCGTGCTCTGCATTTGGGTCCCCTTTGCCTTCATAACAGCAGAGATTTTATATATTCAGATGACACTGTCACTCCCTGGCCTTCTGCACCAAGGTGGATATGTGGTTAGTCCATGTCAGGTCCTCAGAGGTACCTGTACCCTGATCCTCTCCACCAGAGATGGGATCTGTACTTCCTCTCCTGCTCCTTCCTGAAATCTATGACAATCTCCTAGGTCTTACAGGCTTTCGGATATAAATTGTTAGCCTGATGCCACACAGACAGCTCCTCCACTTCATCCGGGCATGCGTCTAATCCACGCTGGAGATCAGACTTAACACCACCGGCTCATCCGCAAATTTCTGTGGTGCTGGAGCTGTTTTTCAGTAGCATGACCAGAGGAAACTCCTTTTAGGACTTCCACTGCCACATTTTTACGGGACAGAAGGGAGATGAGTGTTGGATGCCTTGTGATAGCACTGGGAAACAAAACAAAGAAATACATGATAGATAGATAGATAGATAGATAGATAGATAGATAGATAGATAGATAGATAGATAGATAGATAGAGTGCTTAATGGAATGTTAGTGAGTACATTTCTTAGAGTTTGGCAGGTTCGTAAGAATCACATCACATCAAACGGCTCAAGAGTTGTTTCTGTCCCTGAAACCTGGAAAATTTCTGTTCTCTTTCTTTGCTGGTTCAGAATGTGATTCTCTTTATGACTATGTTTTGAGTGCCCTACCCCGAATCACTGTAATGCCTTTTCTGCACCTGACTCACTTGGTTTGCTTCTCAGTTATGCTCATTCAGCTGTATGTTTACTGAAGCGAATTAGGTTAAGTATCAGACTATTACCGCTCCTCATTTGTGACATGTAGCCACGTCCCTTGTCCTCCATAATGTTTTCTAATTGTTCACTAAAACATAAGCTATCTAACAGAGAGAAACTAGACGCTCCTCTACTTACGAATGAGATATGTTTCGAACTGCCGTTCGTAACTTTGAAATGTTCGGAAGTCGTTATTCAACACCATTTTATGGATATACCCAAGTAGAAAGAGAGAACTAGAATGCTGGGAGTCCGCACGCTACGCTGATGCGCGGCGGGAGTAGCGGCCAGAAGTCATACTAGGCGGAATTGGCCTGCAAAAAAAAAATAAAAAAAAATTGATGTTCCGGACGGGAAATGAGAGCCCAAGGAAAACAATTTGAACTTACAGTCCTCTTCGTTTGTATGTCTGAAAGTTCGGAAGATGAAAGTTCGTAAGTAGAGAAGTGTTTGTATTTTATTTATGTTCATATATAGGATAGAACGTTTTGTTATCCTTTGTCATTTTCTTAATTAGAAGACTAAAACTAATGAAAACAGTCTGTCGATTTCTGGCACATGACAACATCACATCCAGTGCCAATGTAATATATAATTATGATTTATGTCGGCTTTATTTTATTTTTATTTAATTTTAATTTGATTTTAAAAAACTTTCATAAGTTAATTAAAAGTTCAGCCGTTTTTCAGAGTTGATTACATTTCCACCGGTACTGGGAAACTTTTTACGTTTCATGACAAGCGCAATGCTTCCACCAGGTGGCACTAGTTAGCCTAGTACCTGAGTTTGCTCAACCTTTTTTTATTATTGAGTATAAGTTTGTTATATCTACAAACGCCAAGGGCATGGCCTTAAGTTTTGATTTTACTATAGGAGAGTGTTGTTATTTTAGCTTTTTATTGTATTTAGTTTTGTATTTTATATAATATTGGAAGCAGAATTCTGTGACGTAACTTGTATCACTAGAGGGCACTGTTGTTCTATTTCTACTGAATGCCAATTCAAGCAGAGAGGACCTTTCTAAGCAAATGGTACATCCGCATCAATATTTTTTGCTAATGATTCGTTGGTATACATTTTGTAGCTTCTTTGTCTGTTTGGTTATCAAATCACTGGTGTAGTGCATAATGATGCTTGGAAAAACTTTTGAATAGAGAATAATTTCAGAACGGCAGTTTGTATGTAAAAATGGAACATACCAGGCAGGACATCTGCATGCGCTGTGCACAAAAAAAGGCTATGAAAGGGCTCTTAATTTGTCAATAAAATGTCCAAGCTCCAAAATGGGTGTGACTTTGGAGACCTAATTATTTGAATAAATATCGGGCTGCATAAAACGCAAAGCTGTGCAAACCTCTTTGGACAGGAGTATCTGCAATTGTAATGATAATAACGATAATAATTGCTGTTTTGCAAACAGCGGTGACAGGCTGCGCCACGTGAAGGTGCGCATGCAGCCAGAAGCCCGTGGCGGCCAAACCATGTGCGCTGGGCGACGCAGAAGCTGCCACGTACAACAGTTTTGGTTCAAAAATAAGAAACAGCTGATCCATGTAGCGGCTTGGGGACTTGGGGTGGGGCCGGGAGCCCAGTTTTTGGAGGGGGGGTGGTGCATAAGGGGATGCAGCTGAGATACAGATGTGCGCTCGTCTGACAGCTGGCATTGGGGTTTCTTGGGAAGATTGCCTGAAGAGAGCAGAGCCAAATGAGAACTGAGCGAGGGAGTGGAGTGTGTGCATTTGTCTTTCTCTCTTTTTGTGCCTGTGTATGTGATTGTCTCTTTCTCCAGTTGCCTCTGTGTATATGGGTAATCACCTCTCTCTCTTTGTCTCAGTGCATGTACATGTGTTATTGTCTCTAGCCCTGTCTCACTTTGTGTGACTGTCACTCTCTCCCCGTCTCACTTTGTGTGTGTCACTGTCACTCTCCCCGTCTCACTTTGTGTGTGTCACTGTCACTCTCTCCCCGTCTCACTTTGTGTGTGTGACTGTCACCCTCTCCCTGTCTCACTTTGTGTGTGTCACTGTCACTCTCTCCTCATCTCACTTTGTGTGTGTGACTGTCATTCTCTCCCTGTCTCACTTTGTGTGTGTGATTGTCACCCTCTTCCTGTCTCACTTTGTGTGTCACTGTCACTCTCTCCCTATCTCACTTTGTGCATGTGACTGTCACTCTCTCCCTGTCTCACTTTGTGTGTGTTACTGTCACTCTATTCTGATCTCACTTTGTGTGTTACTGTCTCTTGCTCCCTCGCTCATTTTGTGTGTGGGTCCCTCTCTCTCTGTCCCCCAGAAGCCCATCTTGTGTGTGTCCATGTTTTTCTGCCCTCGTTTGTGTGTATACTTTTGTGTGTTACGTGTTGGTGTCTCCGTGCGCATCCAATGGCTGTCGGTTCGCATGTGTGACAGTGTGTATGAGTGTTGTCCATGTGAGCCCCTCTCCCATCGCTTGGGCAGTGGGTGTCATGTGTGTTTTATTTATATGTGTTTACCCACACATGGGTGGCCCGGGTGATGTGGCATGGAGACAGGAGGCTGTCCGCTCTTATCTGCGTAGGATGTTGCCGCTGTTGTGGCCTACGGTGGGTTCTGGGGCTACAGTTAGTGCTCCCCCCAGCCCCCCCCAGTTGAAAACAGAACCTGAGACGCCAGGAGGCTTTTTTATAGGTCTCTGGAGTTCCGCTGGGCTGTGAGCTAAAGGCTCAGCCCAGCTCACTTTAATGAAACCTCTGCTTGATTACCACCCTGGACTCCTGCTGTTCGAGGAAACCAAGGCTGCAGATGAGGTTGCGTCTGCATCTTCAGGTGCAGGTGCCCAGACTGAAATAGAGCCCGATCTCGCCTTGACTTGCAGATCACGTATTAGCTCTGAAAAAGATCCGTAGTTATATTAAACCCAAGTTCTCCCCCATGTTTCCCAAATGCGGCGACACGGGCGACAGAATGTACTAGAATGTCCCGCGCCTCTCTCAGGAGTGTATATCATCCCTATCCCTGATATACCAGTGAGGGCCATTTCCTGAGGAAGAGGTGGCCCGTTCTAATATCATGTGAATGCAGCTGAATCCTAGAATCGGTGACCTTCAAGTACCCCCCTCCCACCACCACCCATTTCCCCTTGGATTTCAGAAGGCCTTCTGGTGGTGCAGGGTGTGTCGGACCTCTGAAAAGGCTGGCTGGACCTAGCTTATCCAGCCGAGGAGCTTATCTGTCCACAAAACCTCCTAGTAGAAAGTGGCATAGCAAAATCCCGGGCAGTATGTCAGACATCGCACATAATGCCTGTTTCAGAGGAGAAAAAATCTGTTGTTTTGACATAAACCTTTTGTTTTTATTGTCAAATTCTGGCAGATTCCTGGAGCCCAGTTTTCTTAGAGGTAAGGGATGCAGTCTCACACATCTGAGTGTTGAAAATTCCCTTCATTAAACCACCTATAAGAATATTGTTTGGCATGCAACCTGATCTCGGTGCTCCTGGATTGTTTGGGAATTGGGCCAACTTGGGTTCATCAAGGACGACAGGAATAATTAATGAATGACGAGACAAATGAGTCCATCAGTTGACTGCAGGGGAGTCTCGCGTTAACAGAGCCAAGGGAGATTGAGGGAGGGGCCATTTCAGCACTGCCAGGCGGGGGGCAGGGTGATGTAAGGCCTTTCTCTGCTTTCTTCTCAGCCCACCTGTCTCGGGGCCGAGGGACTGGGGCTGCCTCCTCTGCGTTTCCCTTCACTCTACATCCACGGACAGACTACGGCGGAGCCTCCTCACGGCACCTACAGGAACTGTTTGGAAAGCTGTGAGACAGTCATGTCGCGAAGGCCTGAGACTTATGTTTCGAAAACACTGCATAAATAATCGGGAAAATACACAAATGTTAATGTGTTTATATGCAGGGTGGCTTGGTGGCTATCACTGCTGTCTCAGTGTATCACTGAGGGTTCGAAATCTGGCTGTGAGTGTGGTGTTTCCATCATCTCCCGTTGTACCAGTCAGCTGAAGGTTGCTGGTTCAAGTCCCATGGCTGGCAGAGTGTTTGTCACTATTGGCCCTTAACCCCAAGTTGCTCTAGGGACTGTCTGACCTTGCTTTCTCACTTGTAAATATATGGGCTCCTTTAGATACTTTGCCTTCCTCCTAAGATATACAGTCAGGTGAATTCATGACTCTAAATTGACTATGGCGTGTTTCTCTGTGTCCTCTGACGGACTGGAACCCAGTCCAGCATGTCTCCTGTCCCACATCATGTCCTGACTGGGATAAGCTCCAGAACTGCTGCATCCCTGAACTGGATAACGGAAAGGAACACAGATGGATCATTACATGGAGAAATGCGTGATATGTGTCTCATTATTATGGCACCTCTTCCTTCACTGCAGCTGGTTATAATTGTCTGACTCTTATCTGCGTCTATATTGATCACAGAGATGTTTGTTAACATTGGAAGATGCAGGAAAAGCGTTGTGAGGAACCTCTCCTTTCTCAGCCTCTGCGTGTCGCACGTCAGAAATGAGATTACGCTCGGCACGGCGGCCCTTTGATGAGACATAATCACTGCAGCCGGGATTTCTGGGCTGTGCTCGGAACAGGAGGCGGCGGAGACGAGGCCCGAGCGGGACTCTGCTGAAGACCACGAAGGATGTCATTTTTCGGATGTTTTTTTTAACATCTGAAAGACTAGTTGCCAAATTTTTTGTTTGTGTGTGTGAGCGTGTGTGAGTATGTGTGTGTGTGTGTGTACCCTGCGATGGGTTGGTGCCCCATTCAAGGTCCTACCATGTGCCTGTAACTTTTGAAATAGGCTCTGGATCTCAGCAACCTTACATAGGACAAGCAGGTATGAAAAATGGATGGATGGATGGATGGATGGATGGATGGGGGCCCAACAGGCCCATTGCTGTATTATCTTTTGGGGGAGTCACAGCTGTAACTATACAAATAGGGAATTTGCCCATCGGGTTATTTTGGCTTTTGGGCAAAACGCCGGCCCGTCGGTGGAAATCCTCAGCCCTGGCCGTGCCCAGACTTGCCCAGCAGAACAGAAATCAGAATCAGTCTCTGCAGACGTCCCTGGAACTGTGAGGCGGTCCTTAGCCCAACATGGCAAGCAATCCTGTCGCCATGCCGACCCAGTTCAAGTGGGAGAGACACAGAGAGGGACAGAGAGGGAGAAAGAGCGGTACAGTTTCTGTTGACTGCAGCGTCAAAGCGTCGGAGCCGGGGGCTGCAGGAGGCCAGGGGGCTGTCGCCGTGGGGACGATTCATGGCTCCTTAGAGCCTTTCATACTGGGCCAATCCACCCCCCCTCTGCCGCCATAACCTGTTATTCCACATGGACAGTTGGTTTGGGTGATGGGCCTTTTCAAAAACTGCCTCCTTTGATGGAAATGGTTGAGGGCAGCTGATTTGTCTCCCGCTCAGCTTGCCTGTTTCCTATTCACAGGTCACTCTTCCCTTCCGCCTCGCTCCCTCACTCTTGTCCTGTCATTTATTTATTTGTTTTCATTCAGGGGGCGCCCCGAGGGAAGGACCTGGAAGGCGTGTGTCACATCCTCCCATTCTTTTCCCAGCATCCTCTGTCCTGTTTGCTTTCCTCTCTTGTTTTTCTTCAGCAGGACCTGCACCGTTATATATGTGAGCCTCAAATAGGTACTAACTATCCCCCCCCCCCCACCCCAGGAAAGCGGAAACCATGTGTATCTTGTAATAAAAAATTGATAGTATTTTCACATCTGAGAGAACTAATAAGCTACCAAAACATACAGTCTCACACACACACAGGTTTGTGATTATATCTTTGTGGGGACTCTCCATTCATTTCTATGGGGAAAACTTTAATCCCAACATGACGACCTTAACCCTGACCCAGCCCAAACCTTAACAACAAGTAGGCATAAAAAATATGATACTTTTGGTATTTTTTACTTTTTTGATTGCATTCACAGATCTTTGTGGGGACCTGAAAAATGACCAGGAAGTAACTCCAGGCAGACACATATTATGTAGGCGTCTTCACGACTTGAAGTGCTTGTTTGTGTTTAGTGGGTCGGACCAAAGGACAGGAGCGAAATTCTGGAAAACAAGCGAGGTTTCTGCCTCACGCATGTCGCCTGCGGCTTGCAGATCTGGCTCCCTCCTTCCCGTCTCTCTCTCCCAGTCTGGGACGCTGGTCCTCTTTTCCGTCCTGGTGATAACACCCTTCCTGGGAAAGCCACAGCACAGGTGCTACATGCTAACAGTGGCGTGATGTCTCACCTGTCATGTGACATGAGGGGGGGGGGGCAATGTTTTTTTCCCTCTCCCCCCTGGCTCCGCTGTGCTGTGTAACATGTTTCATTTTGCATTTCCCCTCAATTTGTAAGCAGCACAGCGCAGCGACGTTAATGGTCCCGGGGGAGAGCCAGCTTACTCGTCACCCACATACCTCCGTCTGTACTGGGGGCCCCCCCGACGCGGGAAGACCGGCCAATCCCGGGCCAGACTGAAGCAACACCGCAGGCCTGCCGAGTCACGCTACAGAAAGCTGAGCTGCGGAAGAGCGGCCTGCCACAGCAGGACACTCAACCCAGCAAACGTCGTATAAATATTCAATAAACGTCGCGCTACACAGAGGAGCGTCTGCTGAGTCATTTTCAGACGTAAAATTACAGCGAGGGGAAAAATATTGCGTTTTGCGCTCTTCTCATTTGCCTTCTACATTTTCAGCCATTTCTCTTATCATGGCAGACACTAATCCCCTTCTGGAGCTGCTTATGACAGCTCTAATATTGTCCCACATACTGACGCCCCCCCCAAACCCCTTCCCCCACCCCCCCCAGGCTCTCTCGCCCACCACCCTGGCTACATAACACATCAGCAACTCTTGCCAGAGGGGGCAATTTCACACCTTCCTTCCTGCGTCTGTCCGCCAGCCCTGCGGCGGTCCCATTGCCCCCAGCTGCCCTTCGCTTCCCCCAGTGCGGGGGCCTGGGGGCGTTGGTGGGGGTCCTGTTTGCACTTCTGCCTTGCTTGCATTTATGACGTGGGTTGGCTCTGACACCGAGGTGTCTTGCTGCCTCACTTGCACAGTTCCAGAGCTGTGAAGTGTCCATGACTCTAAATCCCTTGTATAATGAATGATCTTTAATATTCAGTAGTTATGGGTGAAAATACACCAGTATGATGTGCAGAGTTCAATGTAAGGTAACTAGAGGCAAATTAGCCGTATGCTCACGAATAGTGTCCGGAAATGTAAAAATGTTGCTTGCAGAGTGAATATTAAAATAAACACTTTCAGTGCCTCACCAAATTATACTATATGGACAAAAGAATTATTTGCTCTTAGATAGTTAAACATTGCAATCAAGCCAAAGCAGAACTGTACAAACTAATCCGTAGCACTGAATGCTGAATACATAACATACACTATATGGACAAACGTATCGGGAGTCTTGGCCATTATACCCACAGTAACTTTTAGAATTGTCCAAAATGTGTGCCAAGACATTTTGGACAATTATATGCTTCCAGCATTGTGGGATCAGTTTGAGGAAGGCTGTTTTCAGTTCCAGCATGACTATGCCCTGGTGCACAAAGCAAGGTCCATAAAGACAAGGTTGGGTGAGTTTGGTGTTTTTAGAACTTGACTGGCCCACAAAGATCCCTGACCTCAACCCCATCTATCACCTTTGGGATGAACTAGAACGGAGATTGTGAGCCAGGCCTTCACGTCCTCACAAATGCTCTTCTGGATGAATGGGCAAAATTTCTCAGACACACTCCAAAATCTTATGGAAATCCTTCCAAGAAGTGTGGCAGCAGTTATAGCTGCCAACAGGGGGAACAACTCCATATTGATGCCTATGGATTTAGAATGGGATGTTATAAAATTTCCTGTAAATGTAATGGCCAGGTGTCCCAATACTTTTGTCCATATAGTGTACATTATGTACTCAGCAGTCAGTGCTAGCGAGGAGTTTGTACAGCTCTGCTTGTACCTTGATTGTAATATTAAACTATTTAAATGCTAATTAAGTTACATGTGCACGGACACCTGTTTCAGGTCAACGATACAATAATAACAGTAATTGGACTATGTTAAAGTGCTTTTGTTTCTCAGTCATGCCCAGCAGAGGTCAGAGCAGCTGGTCCTCCCTCTCTCCATCAAAATATTTGTTTTTTTTTTGTTTGGTTATGCCAGGCACGTCATTAAAATGACAATCAGGGGAAACGGGACAAAAGTCATAGATCAAATTGTAGCCAGATAAGAGGAAAAACAGGGAAGCAAAAAATTATGACCCCCCTGCTCTCTCAGCTGAATTGAATTATGTTTGTGTGCTTTTGTCTTCTCACGTGATGTCCCTAAATGTAAGCTCCATTACTGTCAAGAATTTCAGTAATAACCAGGCTTTGCTGACAAGGATTCACCAACGATCACGAAGGGACTATTCCGATTGCTTGATTCTTTCCAGCGATGCCATTATGCTAGCTAGGGTATTGCAGAGTTTCATTTCTCAACTCGAGTTTCACTCTGACTGCTATAGCTAGGTTTATGGTTACTTTGTGTATTACTCTTTCTTGTCTTGACTATAATTCTGGATCACCTATGTGATTTTGCAGCAACTGATTGACCTATTTCCATTTTAGACTTTGATTTGATTTGAAATTCTTACTTTGACAGTAAACTCTTTGGATGTCCACCATGGAGTTTCCCTCAATCATTGCAAAAGACTTGGTAAAGGACACAGCGGAGCTTCTTTGCGAAGCTACACAGCATTTGCAAAAGCCTTAAGAATGTACCTTAGATGGGGCATACAAGTACCCTGACCACCACCTCACAATCTCTTTAGGTGGCCCCAGACACATCACTATTACCGAGAAGTAAACAAGGACTATGGTGAAGCGACGGAATTCACTAATCGGCCGGCTGATTTTTGTGTTGATTTGGGCGAGGATCGTATTTATGATTTCACAGCTCACAGACAGGGATTTACTGTGGGCGACAGCTGTCTGGTCTAAAAAAGGTCCTGTAATCGGGCCTCTATCTCCATTCATCAAACATTTTTCAGTAGTTCAGCATGCCACAGAGAGCATAAGTGCTGAGGAGTGTCTGCTAAATTTGCGGCAGTGGATTAAATCAACTATGGACTACGCTTTATAGTTTTGGACTCCAGCACCTAGAATGATAGTGCCTTCATTGCCTAATCCCTACCACTACTCCAAGCTAGTCTGCAGAAATGACTAATTGGGACTAGAGGCTATTTGCCTTGATCTGGATCTTAAAAATCAGAAGAGTGTCCCCCTCTTCCATATGTATCTTGCCTGGAACCCTCTCCTATCTACAAAAAGTAATTCTGATGGAGATGGACCTTCACCCATGCAGGTTGGTGACAAGCATCTATCTATGGATAAGTTCCACTCTAGAGTGGAACAACATTTGTGGCTATACATGTGGCCACTTGGGGCACAATATTGCTAGCTGTAACCTCCAAGACAACACACTTTACTAAATCCAGGGTATGTAGTATATGTCCTGTCACATTGACATTGAAAATACATATCTAAGTTCAATTATTATGGTGCAATCACTCTCTGCTGCAGCAGTGATTGACTCGGCTAGTAATTTTGCAAGTGAGATCATAGTGAAACACTTGAGCATCCCGTTCTATCCTTGTCAGTCATCTATAGCTGTGAGAGCCATTAACGGTGGATTGGATCTGGTTATGCTTCCCATAATGTTACAGGTGGGTTTTCTCCATAGTGAATCCATCACACGGTTATTGATACTCCTAATTTTGAGGTAGAGCTCAGCCTCCCACAATCCTGTTATCTGCTGGTCCAACAAGGAATTGGTTGGTTGGGGAATGGACCGTTTCCTACAGTGTCTTACCCTACCTGTGCAGTGTGGAGAATCTGATTGTCTTTGGTTTAGAAATCTTCATCTTACCTATAGTGTTAAAAGAGATGAGGGATATTATTTGCCGACCCTTAACTTTACTGTTTCAAAAATCCTTATCTGAAGGTGTGGTACCTTCTGATTGGAAGCATGCCAACATAACACCCATTTTCAAAAAAGGGGATAGAAGTAATTTGTCAAACTATAGGCCAATCAGTCTAACTTGTATAACTGGTAAAGTTATGGAGGCTATAATCAAAGAGAAAATGGTAGATTACCTGGACTCAAATAACATTTTGAGGGATAGCCAGCATGGATTTAGGAGAGGTAGATCCTGTTTAACAAATCTATTTGAGTTTTTTGAGAAAGCTACTCAGGAAGTTGATGATAAGAAGGCATATGATGTCATCTACTTAGATTTCCAAAAGGCTTTTGATGTTGTCCCCCACAAGAAGCTCTTACTTAAACTCAAAGCGACAGGTACTTTAGGAACTCTAGCGACCTGGATTGATAACTGGTTAACAGATAGGAAGCAGCGAGTAGTTATGAGGCACAATGTCACAGTGGGCCTGCGTTCATAGTGGGGTACCGCAGGGTTAAATTTTAGGACCACTATTGTTCCTAATTTGCATAAATGATATAGACACCAATATATACAGTAAACTGGTGAAATTTGCAGATGACACCAAGGTGGGTGGTGAATTAGCGGCTCAGCAGCTACAGCGGGATCTTAATTTAATTAGTGACTGGGCCGATACCTGGCAGATGAAATTTAACATAGACAAATGTAAGGTACTCCATGTAGGGAGCAGAAATATAAAGTACAGGTATTTTATGGGACCTACTGAAATAAAGGTAGCTGATTATGAGAAAGACCTTGGTGTGTATGTTGATGCTTCCATGTCTCATTCTCGCCAGTGCGGGGAAGCAATAAAAAAGGCCAATAGGATGTTGGGGTATATCTCCAGGTGTGTGGAGTTTAAGTCAAGGGAGGTAATGCTAAGATTATACAATTCCTTGGTGAGACCTCACCTAGAATATTGTGTGCAGGTTTGGTCACCATATCTTAAAAAGGACATTGTGGCCTTAGAAAAGGTGCAGCGTAGGGCCACAAGAATGATTCCTGGTCATAGAGGAATGTCATACGAGGAAAGGTTAGTTGAGCTAAATCTGTTCAGCCTCAAGCAAAGGAGACTGAGGGGGGACATGATCCAGGTCTATAAGATTCTAACAGGTTTGGATGCTGTTCAACCGAATAGTTACTTCAGCATTAGTTCAAATACAAGAACTCGTGGCCATAGGTGGAAATTAGCGGGAGAACATTTCAAACTGGATTTAAGGAAGCACTTCTTTAAACAGCGTGTAGTCAGAGTATGGAATAGTCTTCCTGATAACATAGTGCAAGCTGAATCTTTGGGTTCCTTTAAATCAGAGCTAGATAAGATTTTAACAACTCTGAGCTATTAGTTAAGTTCTCCCCAGGCGAGCTCGATGGGCCGAATGGCCTCCTCTCGTTTGTATAGTTCTTATGTTCTTATTAAACTGACAGCCATTTATTTACCATCCTGCTGACCATGGGACTGTGCTATCAATTGGTGACTTGTAGTCCCTCCCCCTCAGGGTCACGTCTATCCTTTGTCAAACCCTGAATCTAAAGCAACGGAACAATACATACAGAAAGTTTCAAGGGAAGTATTAACTTTACCCATTAACTTTACCCAAAGAAGCTGACACT